ATTAGCTCTCGGGAGATAGCTAACTCTGAAGACGTCTGTAAATCAAAGAGGGTTTCTTGCTGTAAACTTTGGCCTGAGACCTGTAGTCTCTCACTCCCCCTCAATTTTACAGTCAATAGCTGAAGCCTGAAGGCTGAAAAGTGAAAAGTGAAGACTGATGAAGGCTGAAGGCTGAAGGCTGAAGGCTGAAGGCTGAAGACCTGGATTGTGAAATTGTTGACTCTGTAGATGGATTGGGCGATAAGCGTTAAACCGATGGATTTTTGTAATAAAAAACTCACCTTTGGTTGTATACCTAAGGTGTTTGTTCTAGTGTTCAGCCACTTGGGCTGGCCAGGGTAAAAACTCATATGGTCAGTATGAGAAACCTTCTGCAGAATACTTCAATACTTCGATACTATTCTATTTCGAATTATCTGCAACTAAATCTCACGCTGATCACATGATGTCTTCAGGTACCAATACCACTTTCACGGCAAAATGACACTTCTTTTGAATATAAAGTTTGAAGATATTCTCCGTCAACCGTCGAATGACCTCTTGGACAGTAGCAACGTGTTCCTCGTAGTCATGATACAACAATAAGATCATCGACATAGCATTGCACTTTATTGTTGACTGTCCCATGTAAACAAAAACATATGATGAGAGTCTGTATGTACCGGTAAGCAATGGTATGCTGCCGATAAAACTAACATCGTGTGGTATCGCTTACCCCTCAAGTTGCTGATAATCTCCTTCACCCTCGGTAGCGTGAATTGATCCCCCAAAATAAGAGCAATGATCTGCCGTAAGTCCAAACACACCCGTATTTTGATAAGCTCTCCTGACGGTGTAAAAGATGGTACCGCCAGCAAAGTTTTTGATGTCCATCGATTGGATACTACCTCATGTTCCACATGTAAACTTGCTTTGCTACACGTAGTTTGTACTTGTCAGATATGGGATTCCGTGTATGTCGTCGTAGTTCCAATACATTATCTTGAGGTATTGGAAATGTCACTTCACTGCCCGGCAGTGTGTATCGAGCGGCATCCAATATCGTGTCATTAGCGTCAAGGTGTCAAGTTACTGTCGTAAACAGTGTCGTAGTATATCATCTGGCTGTGACAGATCTGGAGCCATTCGAAGATTGGTCGGTTCTAGCAGTTCTTCCATAGCATTAGAAATAATCTCTGGAAATGGTGATGATAAGCCAAGAACTAAAGCTCTTCCATATTTCCCATACCTGGAATTATATCAACGTCATCCGGTAAGTTCATAAGCTAAAACGTACATCCCTCGGTAGATGCGTTGAATGTGTTTTCCCCAAGCGCAGGGTGCGGAATGCTTTGTCCGTTAGATAAATATAGTTATCTTTATCTGCGGATTCCCCCCCTCCCCCCCCGTGTCAACAAGAGCGCGCATATCATGGCCGTTTACTTGTAAAGTAACATATACACACTTGTCGGCAGGAAACAATATATATTTTACTGCAAATGTTATTATTACCGTATCACCAAATGTCATGCACATGTTCATGTCAGACACCTCAACATCTCAATCCGAACTAGGTCTTCTCTCCAGCCCGCTGGTCCTTGTTCGGCTACCATTGACTTACGTATGACTTGTCGACCTAATCATGAATATACATCACTTCAATCTCGCCCTTCTCTGCTGGTGGTTGATCAGGTATCTGAGCAACGTCCACTAAGTTGACGCGAGGGTAAAGGTATTGCCTGACCCCTGAGGCGCACGCGTCGACGTGCCCGTAGCATATGTACGTTGTATAGGAGCTCCACCAGGTTGTGTACGATTACCCGTGTTGATGTGAACTGGTGGACACTGTTGTTCATGTGGGACAGCGGTTTACATGTCCTGGTCCCAGAGAAAGATTTTACTCACATGACCGACAACGAAAATAATAATTCGATGTTGGTGGCGCATGCCGGTTAACTTGTGTGTGCACATCAGCAAGCAAGTATGATCGTGAACGCGAACACCTCGGGATCTGCTGCGATCGCGATAGAGTTTCCCGACTATGTTCTTCAGCATTGTCAATGCTCACACGGAATACGTCACTCATCTGCTCAGATATGTAGTCTCGCCAATGTGGATGCATAAGAAGAGTATCGCGGTAGTACGCTTCCCCCGCAGCTTGACGTATAAGATCAAGTACATCATGATTGCCGTATACCTGTAACGAATTCTCATACTATCGCATCTTCATGAATTCTACTTTGCGGTCAAAATCACAAATCTGTGTATCAAGTGGTGCCAAAGGCTTCAACTTCGTGCATGCTTTTACAAGTCTGTATGCGTTTTCCTTCAAGTCTTGTGTGTGAACAATACGTGCAGTGGCTTTCTCAAACGACATAGACTGCAATTTCAGTTTGTTCTCCACAATAAAGTCCAATAGCACCTTAGGAACCCATTCTGTCTGTAGAACTCTGTGTTGGCCTATTTGCATACAAATCGGATCTAACTTATGAAATTGTACATTCTGATGCCAGTCCAAGATATATGTTTTTTTTGCGGGTTATCTAAATAGTAGCTGCCTTGTTGATTAGGCGGCCGTTCCTTGAATGGCCATTTGCCTAGAGTTATTGAGCATGTTTTGAGAGTCTCATTGGACGTACCAATTAGACCTTGTAGCGCGCGCAACTTCTATGCGTCGCTCTACTATACTCAAACGTCAATCTATTTTGAATTTCGGTGTTTCATGTTGCAGATGAAGGGTTTTAGTGAGCAGAACGAGCCAGGTCGTAAATCTGTATCATTTGAAAGCGTCATAGTTATGTGGTTCGCTCGCGTTCGCCACTGTAATCTGGAGCAAGGTACAACAATGCAGCTTTTTGTTGTAAGTATGAGCTGCACACAGACCGTACCAAATATCCTGAATGATGTCAACTTATGTATGCCTACTTTAGGCATCCGGCGAATATTCCACTGATGTTACTTGATGAGCATATTAACAGAGATCTACTACTACCATGCTTTGTATTTGATTATTCAAATACTGCACTTGTGATAGACTTGTGTACTGGATGTTATTTGGAGACATCGTCTATTAATTTGATATTTAGCGTGCATTATGGAGTAACTAAACGCATCAATGTAACACCGCTAAATAAATTGGTTGAAATGTCGAGGACTGGACACTACATGTGTGCTTCGCCACTTATATCTGGTAGGATAAGCGTTCCGAACATTATAAAATTATACAAAGTAAAGTTGTTCAACATACTGTTGTAGGGTGCTTCAGAAATGGGGGATAAAGGCTTTAATATCCAACAGCTCTTACCTCCGGATTGTATTTATAACGTGCTACCACGATATTTAGATTTCTTACACAAGAAGTGAATATGATTGACATTCACTTTTTTCTTCTTCCTGCATTGGCAAGTGTAACTTGCTTATATTTGACTGATATTATATCGCCTATTGTTTGACGTTAAATACATAAAACATCTCACTTGATCATAAGCATGTGATTGCAATGTAAATAATATGGGTTTAGTGCAAATACACTTTAATTGTTATTAGTATTCTTATAGTAACTGGTAATATCATCTATAAGACGCATGTGATGTGGTCTTTGTCACACAGCTTGGCGAGCTCGACAAACGTACCATCGTATGGTAAGTAGTCTAATAGGTCTTCAGCAATAGGTTTCATACGTTCTCTGATGATTTGTTTTGGCAACAAGTTCACGTGCTTATCGCGTTTTTGCAAGTGTATGCTCAGTTGGTTCAGTACTCTGTCAGACAAATAGGTCCTGTCGATCTGCTACAGTATGAGATGATTCTATCTGTACCATATGAATCAGAAGTTACATTCATTTTTACGTCGCCGGTTGGTACTCCCCACTTCTGTAACTTGCTAGTACAAACGACCTCTTCTGAATCTGATTCAGCCCCGGGCGCTTTAGTAACGGCTGAATCGTGGTAATAGCTCGTGATAGTGCCTACGCTCCTTGCTGTGTTGAATTTCATACTTAGTGCTGCCACGTGAACACACTTTTCATTGATGCCTAAAGGGCAGATACAATAGCCCTTCTTTACATAGCACATCTCATTTTTATTTGAAGCTCAATTTGTATAAGATTGTAATAGGTATGTGCACTGTGACCGAGGTTTTCTACTCATAATTATAATTTCATTGTGCTATTTAGTTTCATCCACTTATATTTTACAGAGCTATTTAGCTGCTCGGACTGAAGTGTACGTCTTATCAACAACCTGCAAAACATGCGAGACTGTTCTATTTTGTCCCTTTCCATATGTTGCGGTACCGACTTTTTTTCAAGCATGTTCACCTTTATAACTGACACAGGAAATCTGTGCCATTCTTTACTAGGCACAGGTATATACATATTTGTAAAACCTTCGTATAGGGGTCAAAAACCAAAGGTTCAAAGAAACACATGCATCTTGCACACAGTATTGCACTTCTCTGAACAATATGCGAAGGCGACAATATCTCTTATTTTGCTAGTAGCTATTTCAATATAAATAGTACTCATATTTGTGTTGTAAGATTCGGTCTCTCAAGGCAATATTAACGCCTTAGAATAAATAAACGCGTAGGTAAATTCTAAGTATCGTGAAGATATCAAAGTAAATAAACGAAGTAAGACATTTAGTAAAGTTAGGTATGCCTCGTGAAAACAGCAATACTCTGAGGGATTGTGAGGCTGATATATTGCCTATATATAATCCTCTCAGTCCTGTTTCCGCCGAAGGGATTTTATTTAGTGTTTCGTTGTCGCTCTATTAGAAACTATGGTTTGTTTCATTAGGGCGAATCCGAGAGACTCATAAAATCCTATCTTTAGAAAAATGATGTTCTTAGTTATTGTCTTAACCAATAACATGTCACCTATCAAGAATTACCGACTTAGCCTTCATCAGACTGGCACATCTGGTTGGCTGATCGGAGGATCAACTAGGTAACGTTGATAGTCCCTAGAAACCTATATTCGGTTGAGCCATCTCGCTACCGAAGTATTCAGATATAAATAAAGTTGGTAAGTAAATAAAGTTCTATTAATAGAACTAGACCAACTCTTTATGTTTGGTATTTTACTGAGGCCTTTTAATGGCCTCGTCCAAATATCTGATAAGTAAAATGGAAAAGGTATTAATGAAAACCACCATTAAAAACCATTTTAGGAAACTTAAGTTCCTCGTGCTATTAAGAGTACATTTAGGAAACTTAAGTTCCTCGTACTATTAAGAGTACGTTTATAATTTACGTACTGCTTAAAAGTAAGTTTATAATTTTACGTACTGCTTAAGAGTACGTTTATAACATAGAGTCTAATGTAGAGGCCCGGCTTATTACACAGCCCCCACCCAGCTTTGAGACCCATGAGAAGCAAGTTGCTCACTCAAGCTGATTATGGGTCAAAAAGCGAGAAAGGAAAAACGGGTC